GATTCAATTTTAATTCCAACTTTTTAAATTGTTTCAATTTGATACATTATAAGAAAAAATGCGGTGTAGATATTATCAAAAAAATTAAAATAATTTTAATTACGCATTTAAATTAAAGCAACGTCCCTTTCCTTTTACAATTTTTTTTTCGGATATGATTTATGTTCTATCCAGTGAAGTGCAATCGTGATTTCAATTGTTAAACCATAGTTGTGTTTAGATTAAATTCAAATATTTGTTTAAACATAACCTCACAAAATCAATGAAACCTGAACCTCATGTGGCCATGATTAAGCGAAATATTGAATATAATTTTGACAGTTTATTTACACAGTGGTATCCTAAAACACGAAGTTGTGCCATTCAAAGAAGAACACACTGAAATGCGAAAAAGGGAAGAGTAACATTTTCTTCAAAATGAAAACAAATATATATTTTCCATGCTAGTTATCTACATTTCCGTTATTAGCTGTTTAAGTCTTCGACCTAGATAGTTCTACTGTTAGTTTCGCTTCAAAGTTCTATTGATTTTTTGAAATTAATAGATTAATAGTTAAAATTGGATTACAGTGTCATAATTATGTGCAAAAAAATTAATCTGACATCAATACACTACTACTACCACCACACTAAACCAAATATACACAAAAATGCTTCTTAAAAAGGTTACAGGCCTTCAAACATTTTTTTAACGTCATAGTTAATATTGAGAAATTCTTCTTGACAATGTACACTAGGAGGTTGCCTACTATTTGGTATGTGACGTCACTACTAAAAAGGTCTATTGATATATGAAGTTTTTGGGTCAGCCAAATATTAAATATAAGCTTATTTTCACTTAAAACGTAGAGGTTGTTGTGAACGCTTTAAACAATCTTTTGTTTTTGCTACTTATTCAAATTTCGTGGCTGAAAACGTACATAGGTATTGTATTTTTGAAACCGAGTGACCATGCGAAACATCGCCATAACTTTAAAAATGTTGTCACCGCCGTTCTTGGGGGTGAAAATTCGAAAAATTTAGAATTAATCAAATTTCGTGGCTGAAAACGTACATAGGTATATAAATTTTTTTCGAGGCAGAAATTTTGAGAAAACGTAGATGTTTCTGAAGCTTCACTTAATTTACTACATTACCGGTATACCTGTTTACTATATATTTTTGTTATATGATTGAAAAATTGATTCTAATTTTCTACTGTAGTTGCAGCTACGAACAGCTAAGTATTTATTGGCATTCTAGCCTAATTAAAGCTCATATTTTCTGCAAAATTTGTAACTAAATTAAATATTTGTTACGATTTACAGCAACCCGAACTTTTTAAACAAGCATTTTGGTAGTTGTTAATTATTTCGTTTAGGCCTGAAGCAGATCTGGTTATAGTTTTACACCTAATTGTAATTGATTCATATATAAATATTTCAAATAAATACCTATGCTCTATTTGGAATTAACGAATTTATTAGTAAATACGTACATGGAAGTTTAAAATTTAAATTTAAAATTTTATTCCATTAATAGCCGACCATACACGATGATGATCAAAGCTCGTGATAAGAACCGCAAGCTAATTTTGTGGGATTGCAGATTTCCCTTTCCAAACTTTTTGTCAACACAATTAAGTGATTAGCCTACAGAATCATATGCTTCAAGTAAAACGAAGTGGTTAAATACGTTCATTCTTTGTTCGATTTTTGGTTTAATTCTAAGGTTTAACGTGTATGTTTCCTTTAGCAAACCGTCGATGACAGAAGTAACTCAGCAGAAAGTTATGGGGATTCAAAAACGTCAAGAATAGGAACAACTGAAAGATAAGACAAAATATCTTCATATGAAGTCACAAACGCATTAAAAAAAAATATTTTAATTATTAACTAATTATATATTTAATTTTATATACGTTTTTAGACATTTTCATGTTTTATTTCGTTGCTGAGTAACTTACATTGATTTTTCCTACGTATTGTACTAAATGTTGGTGTGATTCATTCGAGGTAACTATAGAAACTGAGGGCCCATAATGACACTTTTTAGAAATTTTGGACTAGGGGTAGTCCCTCGGTAGTTCCATTTCCGGTTTGCTCGTGGCGGTGACAGATAAGATTGATTAGGAGAGGTTTGGAATTTTATATAGCCATTGGTTAATAATTATATTTACTGAACGCTCATTTTTAAAATTGTATGTTTAGTGTGTACACCGTGTCTTTTTGCTTTTGGTTTGACACATAATTAGGGAATTGATTGATTATAGCATGCATTAAGTGCAGCTTTGTTGTTATGTTTTGCGTTGTTTTCATTTTTTTTCTACTGTGAAAATGGTCACGATAAATCAAGACCCATAAATTTATATAGACTGACGATATGACTATAAGAAATCAATTTCGCATTGGAACTGTTAAAAGTAACAGTCCTGTTAAAACTAAAATATTTATTTACGGTTCGCTCGTTCAGAACTTGTACAGAATCGAGGATGATCTGAAAGCTATGCTGTGATTTTATTTCTGGAGACACATCGGCTAGGAAATGGGAAAATTAATTAACATGTCTTGAACGTGTGCCTCCAGAATGCAAGGAAATTAGATTCTTCCGACCACAAATTGTTTAGTTTATCTCGTAATTTAACCACATACACGCGTGAAATGATTTCGCTACTGCAATCAACGAAGTGGTTAGTCTTACAACATTAGAATCGGTTGTACATGACCACAATATGTATGTTAGTTAAAGCACCCAGCCATTAGAATTACATTAGAAAACTGATATACAGGGTGATTCACAAATGGCGAATTTTAAGGGGAGTCTTTTCTATAAAGTTTTTATCTAGGATGCTTCGTTAAAAAGATTTTCTACAAATTACTACTCTCGTGGTTTTCGGGAAAAGCCTGATTTTCGACTAAAACTTAAAAAACCAACTGACATGACAAACACTAATCATTCCGTTATTTATTCGAATAAAGAAATTAATAACATTAGTCGTTTTAATGATTTTATTTAAGTAAATGCTCAAAAATACCTCCATTTCCACAAACCAGGCCCGACATATTTTTAGTAACGAAAATGTAATTTATTCTTTCTTCTAACTGCTCAGAATGTCAAAGTTGCTATCGCAGCCCACTATGTAATTTTAAAAAGCATTATATTCGAATATCGAAGTGTGTTCTCAGTTCGTTTTTTAAGTCTTACTCGAAAATCAGGCTTTTTTCGAAACACATAAGAGGGTAGTAATTTGTAGGAAATTGAAAGACGAATCCGAAAATATCGTAGTTGTTACCGTAAAGCAATGGCGTACTATTTTATTTAGAAAAATATGCCACCGATACCCTGTATCTCCGCAATTGAAATATGTAAATTTTAGGAAAAGCCCTCAAATTTTGGACAATGTTTATATAAATACATGTGCCCTATTTCAAATTATTTCTCAGTTACTAGTTTTTAAATTAATTAAAAAAATTAAAAATATTTTTTGAAGTTTAACACCCTGTATCTTTTTAACGAAGCGTCCTAGATAAAAAGCTTATAGGAAAGACTCCACTTAAAATTCACTAAAGAATACGAGGTTTCATTTTTGGTCACCATTTGTGAATCACCCTGTATAGAGCAGATAAACTACTACAAAATGCTAAAATTTATCATAAAAGCAATAAAATAGAGACAGATGTCATTCGAAATACAAGCATTTTATTACCACGTTCGTGATAGCATAATTGTTTCCCCTTTTAAACTTATTCATTAAATATTATGAAATTAACAAAAACATCCAGGTGATCTGGTGCATCGTGAAAATCATATACTTTTAGACGCAGTAAAACATTCTCTATCTGATGTAAAAATATATATCCTTCCATTTGAAAAAAACAATTGACAGTTGCCTGTCATTAAGGTAGGCTTTGAAAAGACAGGGTGTTATAGTATGCAGTATTTTTGAAAATCGGAGTAAAAATGGCGGAGTTATAGCTTGCGACGTTTTTTACTATACCTGTTACTCACAAGGTTAAAAAATAAAATAAAATCCAAGAAACGGTCGTTTTTAAATATTATTTTATTAAAAAATTTCCTAAAAATGATGTCTGATGAAATATACCACATATTTCATTCCCTGACGGACTTCCAAAGAAATCTTTTACCATCTAATAATGCTTTATAATAACACTATATTAAAAATAAAGAATTAATTATTTTAATACTGAACAAAAGATGCAATTTAATCTTTAATTTTTTTTGGACAAAATTCTTATAGTGGATCTATATAGGGATAATTTCTAGTATCAAACATTTGAATAAGTATAACTAAGAAAAATATTTAATTTTATGAAAAATAAGAAAACTCCTGATGGTATCTATTAGGGTAAGTTGCCCTTATTTTATTTTTGTATTTCCCAATTTTTTTCATCATTAAATAATATGTATATTATCAAAATATGCCCAATAAATTTTTTACTAATCATCCAATGTTTGATTGTAAAATATATATTAACGAAGCAATTTTTTATTATATGAAATTTATAAAATTGACTATTAAGTGACATTCTCGTGGTTTAATCAAAGTTATAATTTCTGTTGCTGTTAAAAATTTGCAAAATTTTCAGCAATTAAATATTTACCTTTTAATTAACTTAGCATACAAAAACAAAGAAATGTTAATAAAAATCGCAACATAAATAATATACCTAGTAGTATGCAGTAGTACATGTATTTAAATTTGGTATAGGTACAATTTTTATTTCAGGGCATATAGTGCAAAAATCGACATGTGATTAGTGTCCTCGACTACGCCTCGGGCAACAGAAGACGGATTTTAACTCCTAGGTATTATACATAACATTATTATATATATATTTGTTTTTAACATTTGAGTTTTCTATGTAAGTATGGGTTACTTACTGATTTTTCCAGTAGGTACTTCTATCAATAGATTATTTACCGATTCTTTGATTTAACTTTATTGACTGATAACTGACATTATCGGGTAATAAAAACATAAACCTTTGCTTCGTACTCACCCTAAAGACTTTTAAAATCGCCATCCGTAGCAGATATCCAAAAAGATTTAGTTTATCGAGTAACTCAAACTAACGAAAACTCGCACACTTTTGCGCCACATGCTATATTTATTATTTTTGTTAGATGCGATGCACACGCGCTTTTTGGTATCTCTAGCGCGCCGCACGAATATACTTTCCTGCCTCCGTCGCCGAATCGCAACTGGCAACTTTCAAACTTGCCGGCTAACTTATTTCAAAATTAACTTGACGCGGCCGCGACCGCGTCTGCCGCGCTGGACGCGAATTTTCCAAAGAGGTGTCGAAAAAAATCACAATCTCCTCCAAAAAACGCTCCGGTTCGGTCACGTCACTTTGGCGATCTAACGTGCACTTCAACCGTTGCCTTCAGCGGGGCTCTGGAATTCGCATGTTTATTTAAATAACGAATTGGCAGCACTATTTTTTAACAATTTTCCATCGGCACTGTTAGACGTACTAAGTATCTTCTACTTCCGTTGCTTCCTCGCATGACCGTAAAATATTCTAATTGAATTCTACTCGGACGCCTAATGAATAAATATACACCGGAGGATGGACGTTTCTTTTCTTGCACATGTGGAACTGGTACTGTTGTAGCGGCTCTGGCTCTTCGCACTGTGTAGTGACTGTGGGGCCCGTTGTTGTGGTGGGGGTGGATAATCGTGGATATGGGGTGTTTTATGGCAATGAGGACGGAAGGTGCTGTTTTACCACCCCTGCTTGAAGGCGCCGATTTGTCATGCAAGGTCTCGGCTTTCTATTAAGGAATACGAGGGAACATCAAAAATAACCCGATGGCTGCAAGATCTGATCTCTTATCTTTATAGACCAGGGGTTGGCAAGTAATTTTAGGTGAGGTCCGGATATTTTTGAAAATTTTTAACGAGGTCCAGAAGAAAATTCATATTTCTTACTGCTTACTCAGAATTAAGAACTCAAACCTCAAACGTAAAAAAGTATTCATTACATAATTTATTTGAGTAATTTATACTTTCAAAAAACTTTTGACGGAAATTAATTGATGAAGTCGCTTCATCAAGAAATTGGACAAATGTAATGCACCAAATCAGCTGTCAAATAACTTCATCAATTTATTCATTCATTCAAGTTATTCAGTCAAGACAAAGTCTGTAGCAGTGTATAACCACACTCTTTACCAATAAATTCGTGAATTAATTGATGAAGAACATCGTCAATTTATTGATGAATAAATTGTCAATGCAAAACAGCTATTAGAACGCTTTAATTACGGCTCTGTTTTGTGAGGAATATTTTGCTATTAAAATAAAAATGGATCGATCCTGATAAGTTTGATTTTTCAAAATACTTACTTGTCTGGTGGTCAGTTTCGGTTAGGTTCGTTGAAAGTTTTCCAGTTGTTTAACATCTTTAATTACGATGACCATATTATATTGGCATAGAGAGGCATTCTAGTATGTATGTATGATTTTAAATTAGCTTTAAGGTTTAATATTATCGCAATGCCGCTGTCGAATTGCTAATTTACGAATCTTAAGAGGTGCCCATCAAGCTCATATTAGGATTGTTATTTCCTATGTGAAGTACTGTTTCGTGGTGTTTAGGAGACGACACCAGGCGCTATACCATTAACACTGCTCTAAATAAAGTCATACTGATCTAAGGAATTGCCATACATTCTAATATCATCATCGTAAAAATAATGAGGAATAGTTATGGTTATTAAGATCAAATGAGTATAGAAGGGCCCAAAACAGTACCTTGGGACACACCCGAGTAGACGTCACAAAGAGAAGAATAATCAGAATCATGTGAGTAGTTGGCAACGAATTCCAAGATGATTTGGTTGTAAGAGGAGAGGATTTTGATATTTTATCAAAATTGCAATTGAGTAGAATGATGTACTGATTGTAGTAATTCAGTCATATGAGACACAGAAACCGGGTAGCTCCTCTATTGCAGGAATCGTGGTAAAATTAGGAATTTCCATTGAAAATGATTCTGTAATTCTATAATTAGAGAGTACAGATGACAGTACCAGAAACGGTCGTAAGCTGGAATTGTATGTATATCAGAATCATGAATATGACTCAGCCTGTATTTATCATGTCTTGGATACTATTAGTGTATGCTGTTACTAAAAAAAATCACTATGTGTACTTCCTCAAACCTAAAAGCTGGTGGTGTTGACAGATTTGTTGCTGTTGTAATGGCTTTTTACATGTTTTTTATCTTCTGTATCTATTACCAAGACTGCCGGTGACATAAACAATCTCTGTATTTTGTTGTTCCAAACCCCTTACTATTGATAATATTATGATGACAATTGTTTTTGTCTAATTAGTTTCAATCCTGCGTAAATTAAAATGAACATTTAATGGTAATAACATTAGATTAGTCGTAATTTTACTCTTGATGTTGCATTTTCGTCACTTAGATAGTTGTGTAAAAGAGATTTCGTTAAAGGAAACATCGATTTTTGTGTCTGCACAACCTAATTCGCATTGTTGCAAATTGCCGCACTATTACGCCAAGGCTAGGACTTGCTTTGCTATAAACTACACATCCGAAATTAACTAACTAAAACGAATTCATTTTTTCATGGATAATTTTGTGGATAAACACGTTTAAATAATTTTTCCGTTAGACCCTGACACAGAATCGTCCGCCATTTATTAGTACCTGTTTGTATTTTTTTTTTTTTAATAACTAAGTTGGATTAAACCGAATCGTATACAGGGTGTTAGAAGTTTGACTGCCATAATTAACAGGCATATAATACATTAAAATAAACAAAAAAACCTGATATAACATGGATCCTAAACTAAACCATTTCCGAGAAAAAAATTATCAAAATCTCCAACTTGATATAAACAAAAGTTCGATTACTTAAGGAATATTGACACAACTGCGTACATAGATTACCATAAAATACAATGTTTATCACTTTTTTGAACTTTTTTATGCTCAATTCTAAAAAATAATTAGCGTTGTAATAAATTTAAAATTCGATAAAATCCATATCGAGCAATATGACAACGGCGCGGCGGATAACACGAGGTACTAAGCTGTCAAGCAATACGCACTTCAGTTGATATCTGGAATTGAACCATGTCTGAGTGTTTTTTGCGTACCATTAGTTCCTTTTCTTGAAGTGTTTTTCAACGAGTGCGCGAAAATTGGATTCGAACGTGTCGTGCGTGCATCCAAAATGGTGGTGGACATTTTAAGCATATGTTGTAGTTTGTTTTGTATTTGTTCGTTTAAAAATTACTGAATTTTGTTTTTTGGTACGGACCTAAATTATTTTTAATACGTATGATTATTTGGACACCATGAATTTTTGCGTACTTTAATTTCATATTTTTCAAATTCATAATTTGATTAAATGTTCCTGTTTTACTAAAATTCGAGCTAAAATTTAAGCACAACACTATCTTCGTACTACAAAATGTATACATTTCATTTTATTTATTTAAAAACTCGAAAACAGTTGACTTAAAATTTATTAAATGTTTCACAAGAATAGCTGTTTAAATTTTTTCCGTAGGACAAGTCTGCCGCGTGTACACGTGGTGTGCATCAGCAGGTTAAGCGATGTTGTCACGTTGTGATGAAAGTCTCCAATATTAATACTCGCTGTATTATGAAAACTGTTAATCTTATGCCCCTGTAATATCCAAATTTTTGATTCATTTTTCGGTATATGAACATAAAATATTTATAACTCAATAACATAGCATTTAGTCGTGTATCATGTTTCATCTGGCATATTTAGCACCCTCAAAAACTGATTTATACAAAATTTCAGTGTAATATATTGTTTTCTGAAAAAAACATGGACAAAATTTTATTTTAATAAATCACTTTTGACGCTAAATTTATGGCATCTTTTTTCAAAACACCCACCATACATGTTTTGTACAAATCATTATGTACACAGCTAGGCTCACTCTGTAGGTACATTTAACTGTTGTGAAACTAAAGAATATAAATTTTCACTTTGTATAATTATAAAACGCTTTCCAATAAAAGATCTCACACTGTGTCCACGTGAAAACCTTTGACGTATTAAACCCATTGGGAAACCAATTTGTGTATTGTAATTATTCCTAGAAACGTTTATAAAATAAAGGCGATTAATTATGATAGTATTGAAGTGAAATTGCGCCTGTCCGTCTGAGTTAAAAATAGTGTTTTTGGCATGAAACAATATTTATTATGTTGTACGAACGTCGGTGTTCCGTTCTCCAAAACAAGCTTAATTTATTTTTTCCATCTGTTATCGAAAAATTGTATTTATAGGGTTTTATTGCCGTAGTGTTTAATAGAATATATTAATTTTAAAAATATGTTGGTAACTAATAACTAATCATTTGTCGCCAACTACACTATTATTTATTTAAAAAGTAGATTTATACGTGTCTGGGAAATACTCCATCGTAACATAAAATGTTACGATTTATTAGGTATTCATATTTTTATTTATACACATCATCTAAATTTGTTTTTGTAATTAGGACAAAGCTATTCACAATGTAATAAAACTTAATACCGAATCTTATAACAAGTTAGTTGGATGCCGAGACGGGAAATTTGATGAAAGTAGTTATTTTGGGCACTTAAAATTTAGAATGTTGAAGAATATAAGTAATAAATTTCGTCTGACAAACAACAAAGTGGGAAAAGTTTTAAAGGAAGTTTAAAATGTAAATACATGTTTTAGTCCTTAGGACTTACTCTTTTTACGCTGGGATATAATTTTGCATGGTAAGTTAATGGAGAAGTTTAACTAGCTTCTGGTAGTTAAATAATTATGTAAATTACTGAATTGTTAATTCAAATAATTACTAACCTAGGCTATAAAAATAAATTTTAATGATATGATAATGCCTGCGATTTTTATTAAAAATTCTAAATATTTCCAAAATTAGTCAAAATAACTATAGATACATTCAAAAAGTTGAAAACGATAAAAGGTGTACATAATACGAACTTAAATACAGTGTTATATTTGAAGAAAATGTTGTTTGAAAAATGCAAGTTTTTGATAATTACTGGTAAGTTTTTGTAAAACTCATGATACTGAAATTTTTTAGCGCCTATTTTTTCCTTTTATGTGAGTGTGTAACTGAAGCCCCATATAGATCTTGGAGTACTTGACTGGATATGATTATGTCCACAAAGATGAGCATCACGTTTGCGAAAAAAGTGATACGTAGTTGGGAAAAGTATTTCTAAAGAAAATTGTGTGATATGTAATGGAAGAAAAGAGTGTAATATAAGAGATAAGAGGGACCGCTTTCTCAACTCGCGTCTGCGGTGTGTCGCACCGCCCTTATGCCACATATTGCTATTGGAAAGTCAGATAAAAATCCCGTTAAGCGAAGGAAAGGTCTGCGTTATATAAATATTTATTATGGTCCGTCGGTTTATAAATTTGCGTATACCTATATCTAAGTTAGGTATTTTCGTACAATAACAGTCAATTAAGCAACAAGGGTCTGAACCATAATTTCATTATTCAGTGGGCAAATCCCTTATCCCAGATTCCTGGCGA